TAGTTGCATAGGTGGTATATATGTATGTTGTACATATATACCTTGTTATTAATATTATTATTTTTTATTATCGATTTGCATTAGAAGTTAAGCTACATTTTTTTAAATTTTTTTTATTAGTATTTAAAAAAATTCCTTATAGTTGTTTAATTTGACTACTGTAGATTTTAGCTTTATTTTCAGAGAGTGTTCGTTGTTTAGGTTTAATAGTGATTCGTTTCTGGAAACTAATTTGTTAAATAAAAAGGAACCACGATATGTAATTGAGAATTTTGAGAGTCTTGTTGTTTCAAACGGTATCTTAAAGTTGCTTGTTGCTCTTGTATTGTATTTATTTATATTGTTTTTTAAAAAATGTGTAACGAGTTTAAAAAATGCACAGCCAGTTGATTTTTTTTTTTAATATTTATATTTAGGTGCCCCGAGAAGAACTATTAATCATTAAAATAACATATTTTATAATAAAAAAACCAAATATACAATTGTTTTTATTGATTAATTTTATCTTTTACTTTTTTTAGTATATAAAATAAAACAACAAAATTACATTCAGATATAGTTGACGGTTTAGCAATTCTTAGATTAGAACATTATTAAAACTTTTGGATAAATAAGATTTCAACTAATCTCATTTGATGCACTTTATGATTTTTATCACATTCAGTTTGGCCCCCTTCACTTCCACCACTACCGATTTTTATCAAATAGTCGTTTTATATTCTACTAAATTTTTTAAATAAAAAAATTTGATCAAAGACTTATTTAGTATCTATAAGAGTACTTAATGTACAATTATTTTTATCTCACTCTTGAAAAATAATATTAACGAGTTTATAAAATGCACAGCCAGTTGATTATTTTTTTTTTAAATACTGATATTTAGGTGCTCCGAAAAGACCTAACGGTCTTTTCGCAGAGCACCGCGGATGTGTATTTAATTAAGAAGTTCACGCCTCCTTCCTTACCGTGACGCAAAATCATGTCCAGAGTTTGTTTCAAACTTGGATCTCCTGCTGCTGAAGCAAGCGCTCTAACCACTATTTTTGATTTATCTATTATTTTTAATATATCTATATCATTAAAGTTGATTATATATATATATATATATATATATATATATATATATATATATATATATATATATATATATATATATATATATATATATATATATATATATATATATATATATATATATATATATATATATATATATATATATATATATATATATATATATATATATATAGGTTTTTTACCGAACAGTTTCTTAATTGGATTCCAGGTTTTCAAGAAGTCGCTTATAAATTTCAGTAGTTGATTTGTATAATACATATTTTTAGAACGATTTATAATCAAGGGAAGGTTTCATAAGATGAACAGGTTCCTAAGATGGTAAAACCTCGTTTACTGATTAACCTCGGCTACTCATTTTTTTGCAAATTTTTTGGTTGAGTATATTTATACAATTTTCTTGGTTGTATAGCTAATATCCTTTCATTGTTTTATTGTTAAAAAAATTTACTAACCCTCTTATAATTTTTTGTTATACAATATTTTGTAATTACGTCAGAACGAAACAAGATCATCAAAAATTTATTATATCCTCAATATTTTATGCTTATCTACTGGGTTATCCATGGGTTATATGAGGTTTTACCTAAGCTGTTGTCGTGCTGTTTAAATTACGATATTTTTTCGTATTTCAAGAGCGAAAGTTTTTTCATAAAATTTTGCAAAAATATCGCTAACTATTTTTTTTTTGAGTTCCATTAAAAAAAGCTTATATTTGGAAACTGGTTTTCTTAGACGAGAATATTGGGTTGTTTGAAAGATTGTGGAAAATAACGCAACTTTTGGTATAAAGATTTTTTTTTTATGAGCTATATCTCTATATTGTTTAAGAGGAAAGACTAAAACTATGATGATCTTCGAAAATATTATAATATTTCGGCTGCAAAAACAATGCAATGTTCATATGCTAACTTTCCCCTTGTTTAAAAAACGCCATTGAAAGTGGTTTGTATAAAACATGCGCTATAACGTTTATAGTGACTTTACTTAAATTTCAATTGTTATTATTAATGTTAATAATAGTGTATAGATACTCTAATGTGCATAAAAAACTTGAATATGATAAACTAAATAAATAAAATTCATTGTATTAAAAAAAACTGTTTATATAGGTAAGAAGTAATAAAAGTCATAGGACAAATCCTGGCGAACGTTAAAAACAATGTTTTTTCGACAAGTATAAACGTTGCTTTATTTAACCCGCGTTTCAAGTTATTCTGATACCAGCGGTACATTAAAAGTCCGACAGCCGCTCCAGCCAATGGTTTTCAAATTTTAAAAAAAAAACATCTAAGTGTGTATAAGGGCATCATCAGTGCTGCAATTAATTAAAGAATTCATTAAACTTGTGGTACGTAAACTGATTGCCAGTTATGGTATTTTTGTTGATGCTGTGAGAAGTGACACAAAAAGAGAGTTAATGTATTAAAGAAGTTTTGCTAATACACTAAATTTAAAAAAAAACAACCAGATTATAGAAAAATCTAAAAAAGAAGAATTTGTAAAAAAAAAAAAAAAGAACATTGTCATTTAATGACACACTTGGACTAAATGCTGACTTTCTCTAATAACAAGATTTAAAACAGTTGTAATGGAGTTATTGACATACGACTGATGCCAAAAAACAACTTCATAAAATAATTAAAAAACACAAACAAATCTAGTTCAGGTTTTCTTAAGACTAAGAGCATACCTTTTTCTTGTCCTCATTGCCGGTTCTGCACTACCATCTTATGCAATTGCATCCCGATGATAGAGAAGCTTGCAAATACACACGCTCTCACTTTCTATCTTTGTACAACGATCATTTTTATTATTTGTTTATCTATTCTAGTGTGTCAAACCATTACCATCCAATTTTCTATCCCGTTATTGAGGTGAAACCTTTATGTATAATTGATCTAAAACCTGCTAAACATAATGTAAAGAGTTATCTAGCTTTTTATTACTTCAACATCATTTGTAAGTACTTTTTAATCTAGTACGTTTAATACAGTCTTTTCCCACAACATCTTTACTTTTTTAAACTTTTTCATATAACAAGTTATTAGTGCCTAACTTTCAAAAAAGAAATAAGAAATAATAACTTGTTATGTAAACTTCAGAGTTGAAACCGTTTCAAGTTTTCTGCCCGTTTTACATGAATTAATAATAAAAATTAAAAAAGTAGAAAAAGTTTTCTAGTGGCGCGTGAAAAACCAAAAAACCTCTTTTTAAATCATTTTTTAAATTCTATTTTAGTACTGCTGTAACTTGGTCATATCAATGAAATGTTACCCAAAAATTTTAGACCATTTAAGTCAAAGTATTTCTTAAATTTACTAATAGTAATAATTGAAAATAGTTTCAAAACTAAAAAAAAAAAAGGAAAAATAAAAATTAAAACTAAAAAGCACTAGTTGCTTAAGCTGAGACATTTTTGTTTTGGTTTCCTGAGTCCTCTATTTTTCTTATAATAATTATTTAATGATTAAATTTAAAAAAAATGTAATTGAGTGTTTTTTAAGTGTTTAATGGTCTTATTAGAGAACACCGCGAAAGAGCATTTAAATTGGAAGTTCTTGCTTTAAGTTCAAATTTTGTTTTTAATTTTTTTCTGAGCCAAATATTGGTGTTTTGTCTCTTCTAAGGGTGAATAAAGTTTTAGGTGGTTACTACTTCAAAACCGCGACCTATTCGATGAAGTTGGTTTCTATTGAGAATTTTAAATTTATTTTGAAAATATTTTTATAATCATTAATAAAGGTTATAAAAATATTTTATTAGACGTTAATTATAATCATGATTATAATTTATAAAACTAATAAAATCTAATAAAACGTTTAATAATAAATGATTATTTATTAAACGTTTTATTAGACGTTCTATTAAAATGTCCTTGCTTCTAAAATTAATCAGCGGTGGAGGAAGGGGGGATCTTACAAAATTGGTAGGGATGGGGGGGGGGAAGAAGGAGGTCGGGGAAAAAATGAAAAATTAATAAGCGTTCCCCTACCCTTCGTTTATTCAGCAGGCGAGAGTATATTCACAAGTCATCTTCAACACTAAAAAATCTTTTATCGGCTCATGAATGTATGTTAAAATGAATGCAAAGTAATAAAATCTATAACATGTTTTTATTTGTCAACATTCAAGGTGGGTGGGGGAGGAAAAGAAAAAAAAAATGTTTGAGAGCCACCCTTCCTCTCTATATATTCAATTGTGGATTCGGCTCTGTTTAATAAACACATATTCCAAATTATATTTATAACAAAAAATCTACAGATGTATTATATACAGAAGTAGACGCTACTTGAACTATTAAAATATTAAATTTTCCAAACATTTTCTAATATCAGAGATAAATGAGAATTTTAGCGGATCCCATTTTTATAGCCGCAATATTCAAAAACACAAACACTCGTGGTATAAACAAACAGATAAAGTTACTATGGTGAATTTCTAGATACGAGATCAGGGTCTTTAAACTGTGTGTGAAAATTTTGATTTTCTGGCTAAATTCTCATCTTAAATCTACAAAAAGATGAAAAATTGTATTCTTAAGTTTATTCTAGCTGCATAAATAATTAAGAAGAAAGTCAAAGATTGAAAAAAAATCCACTGTTCTAAATATTTTAAGAATATAAAACTAGTCAAAGTTTTTTAAATTTATAAAATGAAATAGTTATTTATTTTATCCAAATTTATTTAAAAATATCATTTTTTATACACAAAAATATATATTTATTTCAATGATCTAAATGCACAAAGGATAGATCTAAAGATGCAAAACTTTTGAGACTCTAACTAACTTATATATATACTAAAGTATATATATTTCTGTATTAAATTTTGTATTAAGTTAAATTAAGTTTTATTTGAATATTCACTATATTAAATGGAAAAAAAAAAACCCAGATATTCAGGGTTTTTTTTCTTTTTGAAAAGTGTATTATTTTTAGGGTAAACAATATACAATGAACACAGGAATATCTTTTGAGCAAGATGTTGCTGCTTTAATAGAAGAGATCAAATCCACTAAAAAGCCCAAAATTAGTATTAAGAAAAGGTAATAGGAAAATTCATAAATATATAATAAGAAAAGTTATTCTTTTGTTTTCAAAAAAAAGTGTTTAAAAAAGAAAAGATTATGCATGGTTTATGTTTTTTTATTCTTAGAGTTCCAGCATTAATTAAACTATGGCACAAGTATGAGACATATATTAAAAAAAATCAATTAAGTCTTAAATTGATAAAAATAGGTGAAATTTTGCTAGATGAGCAGGTAATTAATTCAATTATAATTCAAAACACTAAACAATTAACAGAAAAGTTTGTTTACAATCATAAAATAATTTTAATAATAATTACTTTTTAATTAGTTTGTTAAAATGTTATTTTTTATGTAGTTAATTTTATACTTCAGAAATGTTAACAAATCAGATGATCCAGGACCATTTGCCTGTGTAGGAATTTATAATTGTGTGTGCTTCAACTATAAAAGAAAGTTGCTAATGGAATTTAAGCTAAAATTCTAGCAAACTGTTTGTGATTGCTTGAAAATGTTTTACTTTTTAGATAACCATCTATTTGTAACATTATTCCTAACTGCCCCTGTGTTATTAACAATGTAATTATTACAAAATAATTACATAACTGCCCCTGTGTTATTAACAATGTAATTAAAACAAATTTCTAATAATGCAGTTAGAAATTTGTAGAAAATAATAAAATGTTTAATCATTGTGTTAGTAAACATTTAAAACAATATCTGCAATTTTAAAGCAATTTTTAGTGTATATATTCAAATTTGTTTTCAATTCCGAACTATTCAACTGAATTTTTTTTCGCTGAGTCGTATATTTATTAATTATCTCCATTAACTTAAAAATCTGGTTGCAGCAGGGTTGTTCCAAATGTAACCCAGTGCGGTTTGATTCTAGGAATTTTTCTTTAACATTAATTACCATGTCTTTTCTTGTTACAGTAAGTAGTAAGATTTTTTCAATTCTTTTATGTTACATCACCTTTAATCACCAGTAAGTCTACTATTTCTCTTCTACTATATAAGAGAATGTCTTATTTAATCCCACCACTTAATATACACAAATTTCTAACAATACCTCAATCCCTTTTTAGGCATTCTACTATAAACCTAATGACTTATCCTTGTATATTTTAATTATGATAAATTGACCATATTTAATCTTATTTTCACAAATAAAAAGCATATAAAAATTATAAAAACAAATATGATGTTGAGCAATAATAGAGATTCTAAGAAGTTAAATTACAATTTGAAGAAATTTTTTTATTGCTGTACTTTTTTAAAATATAATTTTTTTAAAAAAGTTTTTTAAAGTAATGTATACTAATATTTAAATACTTTTCAGCATTCAGAAAAAAATTAAATTAATGAGCTGTAATTAGCCCCAAATTATTCAATTTTTTAAAATACTTTAGGATTATGGAATGGCAGCAAAATGTTTTGGTTTGTATCTTCAGGAAACACATTTGTTTAGACAAGAAAAAATTTTTGAGGAAGATTATGTGAAAACATTTTTCAATAATAAAATATTTGATGAGAGCTTGGTAATTATATCATTGTTTTGATTTTTTTTTTTACTGTATTTACCTCTATATTTAAGTTGCTAAAGTCAAGGAGGTTACTATTTAATTTTGAGAATACTTTCTTGAGAATTTCTCGAGAAAAAGTCATTATTTTTATTTCTCAATTCTCAAGTCATTATTTTTATTTCTCAATTCTCAAGTCATTATTTTTATTTCTCAATTCTCAAGTCATTATTTTTATTTCTCAATTCTCAAGTCATTATTTTTATTTCTCAATTCTCAAGAAATTGAATAAAAATTCTCGAGAAAAAAGTTAAAATTTTTATTTGTTTTAATGACTAATCTAATTCAAATTATAGTTCTATGTTCTTTGCATGTGCATAAGCTAAATGCTGCGCAAGGTTTTCTTTCTGTTTTTTTTTTTTTACATTAAATACTAATACTATGATAGCAAGAGTTTTCAAGTAGTAATTTATTGCAATATTTTATGTAAGAAAAAAAAGATTAAATTTTTAAAGAAATTTGTGTTTTGTCTGATTCTTTAAAACGATCTTACAAAAAGTTATTTGTAATTTTTTGTATTTATTTATTTATTCTAGTTTTTATAGAAAAAATGAGCAACAATGACAAGGGCAAGACTTATAAAGATGTTAAGTCATACTTTTAAAATGATCAATGATGAGGCACATTGCAATTTATGTACAAGAAAATTATTATGCAAAGGTTCAGCAATGATTGGTCTGCAGAGACATCTTGAAAATGTCCACAAATACATTCGCGTATTATGAAGTTCTACGTCTCATCAAAATAAAAGGAATAAAGTTGAAAATCTAGCTAATGAAACTATTTTAAAATTTGTAAAACGACCAACCCTGGCTAAAATGATTTCTAAATTGGCTGCTGAGGACGGTATATCATTCAATAAAATTATTAAAAGTGAATTTATATGGCATGACTGAGCAAGAATGACTGCCAGGGGATTCAGATTACCTCAAAATCTTTTTGAGGTGAGACAATTAATGGTGGAATTTTACCATAGAAACTAAAGGATGAAGAAAGAAAGTTCAGCGTATCTATTGACAAATAGACAAGCGTTAAAAATCATAGATTCATGGGTGTTCATTTATATAGAAATAATGAAAATAATTCATTTAACCATGGTTTGATTTTTATCAAAGGATGTTGTACATCAGAAATAACTTTGGATATACTGTCACAAAAATTAGAAGAGTTTGGTCTATCCTTACAAGAAGATATTGTGGCTGTTATAAGCAATGGTGCTGGGGTTATGAAGAAATTTGGTAGATTATTGCCTGCCTTGCAGCAATTATGCTACAATCATGGCATGCATCTAGAAGTTTTGAAAAGCTTTTATGCTGAACCAAAAAATGAAATAAATAAATTTGTAGATGAGCATGAGATTGTAGATAGCAACGATGATGCATTGGATCATCGGAAGATCATTGGAAGTACAGAAGAAGACTTTGATTTAGAAATTGATGTGTTACGTAGCAAAAACTTTCATCTTAAATTGATGTGTTACGTAGCAAAAACTTTCATCTTAAATCCCAAATTAAAGATACAATTGTAGGAATACGAAAAATTGTAAAACTCTTTAAAAATTCTCCAGTGAAAAATGGTGTTCTACAAAAATATGTAAAAGACCAAGAACAAAAAGAATTGGCTTTGCTACTAGTCTCTAAAACACGCTGGAATACTATTGAAATAATGGTGAATTGGCTCTTAAAAATCAAAAACTGTGTGTAAATGGCATTAAGTGAATTAAATTTGAGCCATTTGTGGAAAGATAATTACATACAAATGGCCGAAATTCTATTAGCTGTATTAGAACCAACACGAACTAACTGTATAAGCTCTAAGTCGAGCTGATACAACATTATTAACGGCCGAAGGAGCCTAAAAATTTTTATTTAATAAATTAGAGGAAGAATGTAGAAAAAACCAAGTAAGTAGAGAATTCTTAAACAATATAAATGAAGAAATATGTAAAAGGAGAAATGATAATGTTGTATCTTTATACAAATTTTTACATAACCCAACAAATAATGAAAAATATGCTACTTTTTTAAAAAAAATTTTTTTTGTCAAAAAATGATATTTATATACATTAAGTGAATTAAATTTGAGCCATTTGTGGAAAGATAATTACATACAAATGGCCGAAATTCTATTAGCTGTATTAGAACCAACACGAACTAACTGTATAAGCTCTAAGTCAAGCTGATACAACATTATTAACAGCCGAAGGAGCCTAAAAATTTTTATTTAATAAATTAGAGGAAGAATGTAGAAAAAACCAAGTAAGTAGAGAATTCTTAAACAATATAAATGAAGAAATATGTAAAAGGAGAAATGATAATGTTGTATCTTTATACAAATTTTTACATAACCCAACAAATAATGAAAAATATGCTACTTTTTTAAAAAAAAATTTTTTTGTCAAAAAATGATATTTATAAAACTGCTAGAGAAATATTTGATACATTGTATGGGTCATCTGATTCCGAAGAAGATCTAACTGAAGACACCTCCACTAGCAGCAATGTCAACACTGAGCTATCACTTGAAGAACAACTAAATTTAGCTATAACAAATACAACAAAAGAAATTATGCCACGCCAACGTTGCGATAATAATAACCAGAATCTTTATCAGACACTTAAAAAAGAATTCAGCTTATTCCAAACAACTGGAATAAGTTCACAAAATTTGGAAAATCAAAAGATGCATTTCTACAATAAAACCAACTTCAACGCAAAATGAATGTAATTTCTCAACTGCAAATGATTTTTTTACAAAAAAAAGAAATTGATTATCAAACACTTCAATGAATGCATTATGTTTTTTAAAATATTGCTTCAAAAACAATTAATAAAAACTTTTTACATTTTGATATTTTATAGTATATCTTTTTTTCTTCATATTTTTATCTTATATTAATAAATTGACTTTTATATTTGTTACTCAGCTATTTTCTTAATTCAATGTTTGTTCTTATACATTTTATGAACATATATGATATTAAAATTTGAAAAAAATTACGATTTTGACATTTCTCAAAATTTCTTAAGAATTCTCAAGAAGCTCATTCTCAATTTCTCATTTCTCAAGAATTAAAAAACATCAAGAAATCATAAAGACTATATATACTTAAAGTATGTTGCTTTTTTAAGAATATCTCATGTATTTCTAACAAATCATTAAATTTATAGGTATCATGAGGTATTTTTATAAATAAATAATAAAGTTTGTGGTAGTTTAAAAATATTTTGTTATTAGAGCAAAAAAAAAAAAAAGAATGGGTGACATTGCATAGTTGCATCAAGTTGCATATTTATTATATATATATATATATATATATATATATATATATATATATATATATATATATATATATATATATATATATATATATATATATATATATATATATATATATATATATATATATATATATATATATATATTTATATATATTAATTTAACGCATTAATTTAATTGTGGGAAGTAATTAAATTTAGAAAGCCACACAAAAAAACAAAAAACAAATTAAAAGACAAATGTTTTTTAAAAACATTTTAAATGTTTTTAAAAAAAAGTTTTGAAAGTGTTGCTACATCGACTATCTTATAGCCTGACTTGCAACGGAGTGCTGCTACATCAACTGACAAATAGCCTGATGCGCATCAGATTGCTGCTACATCAACTGACAAATAGCCTGACTCGCAACGGAGTGCTGCTACATCGACTGAGGATTTGGTTTAGGCAGGCAGTCTATCAAATAATAATAATTTAAAAAAAAATTTTTTTTTACGGTTTTTAAAAAAATACTTAGCGCTGACATTTTATGGTAAAAACATAAAGAAGACCAAGCAAGAGTATATATATATATATATATATATATATATATATATATATATATATATATATATATATATATATATATATATATATATATTAATCTGTGTTGGGTAAGATTAAAAATCATGAACCATGACTTTTTTAACATCTGTCCAAATAACTCAAGGACACTCTTAATGTCTCATCAAAGAGTTCTATAGTGCTTCAGACCTTAACAACAATATTCGAGCTATCTCTACTAGGCTTAATTTCTTTCCTAACAGAGTAGTCAACTGATGGAATTTACTCCCACAAACTGCAATTGACTCTTGTAACCTAAATGAATTTAAACATTTTCTCAAGAAACACTCTATCCAGCACTAGTTTTACGATTTATGACAACAAGGAGCTAAAGGGTTGTTACCCCTTTCAAATGAGATAAAAAAAAACTCATTTACTTTGTGTTACTAGTTTAATCCTTATTTCAATATTTTCTTGCCGCAGCTTATCATTATTATTATTATTATTATTATTATTATTATATATGTATATATATATATATTATATATATATATATATATATATATATATATATATATATATATATATATATATATATATATATATATATATATACTCTTGCATGGTAGTCAGAAAGAGTTTCCCATAAACTGTAGTTTTTTTTTTTTTTTTTTTTTTTTTTTTACTTCACCTCCTCAAGGCCGAGAAGGCCACTACAGACGAGGAGGCTACTTATTTTGTGGCTATAACCCTCTCTCAACTCTATAACTCCAAAACACGAACCTTGACGAACAAGGCCGCTGCGCGGAGAAACGAGTTGAGCGCGGTACTACCAGGGACGTGGTGGGGATCGAACTCCGAACCACTCGTTTATGAAGCGAGCGCTCTACCACTACACCACTACCGCAGTTTTAAAGAGTGCATTAATAAACCTGACCAGAAAAAGTTTAAAAACTTAAAATTTTTTTTTTTTTTAATGATAGACTGCCTGCCCAAACCAAATCCTCAGTCGATGTAGCAGCACTCCCTTGCGAGTCAGGCTATTTGTCAGTCGATGTAGCAGCACTCCTTTGTGAGTCAGGCTATTTGTCAGTTGATGTAGCAGCACTCGGCTGCGAGTCAGGCTATAAGATAGTCGA